GACGCATGAATAATCAAGCTCCACCCTACTTACAAGATTTCCTTAATACCAAAATTTGTAATTGTAATTTAAGAGGGTCGGACACTCTTTTAACGCTACCTAATTTTAATTTAGCTAAGATGTGGAATTCAATACCTCTTTATGTTAGAGAAGCCAAGGATGTTCTTACTTTTAAACGTATTTTAAACAAGCATATTTTCTAACTTGTATGGTGATTTTATATAGATTAATATAGTATTTGTATAAATATATTTTTATCAAAATATTTTTATTGCTTGAATAGTTAAGTTTAATTTTATTGATGTTTTCATTTTTTAGCACGCACGTGTTTTAACTAGCTTTTATTATTCCTAAATGTTGCGTGGGTAAATAAGGGCCCGTTTACATTGAAAGAGGATGATCCTAGTGCTAGGATCATCCTAGAAGGTTCATTTGGTTTACATGCAAAAAAGCAGCTCCTGGGATCAACTTTTCATTTGGTTTACATGCAAGATTTGTGTTCAGCGCGGTTGCAAAGAAAGATGGCGGGCGACAATGACAAAAGTGTAGTTTTGGGGGTTCTTCTCTCTTTACTGGCGTTGATAACTGCCTTCAGCATCAATTTGCCATTATATACGACTTATTTCAAACACAGCAACAGTGGGCTATGATTTTCCAACTAAATCACACTGCCACAATTTCCAGGTTTCAAATAGCGAGGAGGAAAATCAGACGTGGACCTGCTCGCAGATTATCGCAACTGCACCAGGACGACCGAAGGAAAGACTCCAAAATTCACTACTTCCCGCTGACTCTCTACTTTGGGCCCTGTATTTTGAAAACAACATTGGCCCACCTCGTTGCACATCAGTATCGTCGTCTTCTTCGTTGGGCAGAGATATTCGAAATTGTCGGCCTTTTGAGCTTTCAGTCGATAAGTGCGAAAATCCCGCCATGTTGTTTCTCAGAACTCGTCCCCAGGGCCATATCCGGTTTCAAGACGGTGGGTGGGCAAACTGGGCCTCCTGAAGCCGTTTACATGGAGGTAGGATCATCCTAGTGCCAGGATCATCCTTCCTCTCGGATAGGATTATATTATCCTAGCGGTAGGATGATCCTAGCACTGGGGCCAAATACAACCCTTCACATGTAAACTGAAAGCTGAAAACATACCGCGCTCGGATGATCCTGGTCCTAAGATGATCCTAGCACTAGGATCATCCTATTTCCGTGTAAACGGGCCCTAAAGGATCGCTGATTGTTTTTGTTGTTGTTGTTGTTGTTGTTGTTGTTGTTGTTGTTGTTGTTGTCGTTGCGTCGTGGTTTGCTATTAAGCCCAGGAACGCTGGAATCGCGATGGGGTTTTTGTCGGTGTTATTTTTTTATGGACGACTTCATGCAATAAACACTAGATAAATATATCGAATACATACTGGCTTGCATTTGTATTGTTTGACATGTTTAAGTGTGTCCATAGCACTTGATGATGGACGCTACCAAAAGCTCTTTCGAAGTCTTCAAAGTTCATATACAAGGATGGTTGTAATTCGCTGGACTGCTTAATAATGATTTGAAGGGACGCAATTTAGTCTGCGCAAGACCTTCCACTTTGAAAGCCTACTTGCTCGTCGCGTAGGTTTTCGTTGACATGTATCTTCATTCTTCCCAGCATAATACTGCTAAGTACTTTGCTGGGGATGAACAGCAGATTGATTCCTCCCCAGTTCTTGCAGTAGCTGGTATCCCCCTTTTTCAGAAGTTTGACTAGTAGCCCGTTCAGCCAGTCCTACGAAATCTCTTTAGCTGTTCATGAAGTATATCAAGTGACATCTAATCGCTGCTTTTCGTCTCTTTAATCTCGTCAGTGCCCGATTTATCTCTTCCTTGGAGTTGCTGCCAGTGTTAATTGGTAGTTGTTGACTAGCCTGAGGCTCGAGGGGATCTACAGGTGGGCCCCTGTGTAAGTACTGCTGTAAAGTGATCACGCAATTTTTCAAGTTAACTGTTCAGTTTGGTGAGCAGGCTTCCAGTGTTGTCTCTAACTGGGCGGTCTATGGTTCTTCTATGGTCGGAGAGGTTATAGAGTGTCTTTATGTCTCCTTTTCCAGCTGCTTCCTCTGCGTCTCTGCCTAAGTTGTTGATAGTAAACGCAGCGTCGGAAATGTCTGAATAAAGCCAACACAAGAATACCTGCTCCTGTTTTAGAAAAACAAAGATGGCCGCTCTAATACCGTAATGAAATCTTCACATACATGATTCCCCTTTATAAGCGGCAATTTGATTGGTTGTTCATAGAAGCCCCAATCTGAATGGTGTGACATATCTACATCCCTCACTCAGTCACTCATAACGTAGTCCAGACCCGTCGATTAAGAGGTAATTTATTACCAAAAAATAACTTAGTTACTTCTTGTTCTAATCAACAAAACTTGCTTAGGTTGATAAATGTTGAAATGACTTAAATTCCTTTTTGAAAACTCAAGTAGTAAATGCAAATGGGGCAAGGAAACCGAAATCAAATGACAGGTTGTTTAAACAGGCTGTTTATAAATCTTAAAAAAATTTAAATTGAAACTGGAACATTTTTATTATGTCAACGTGAACATGTAGTGTCGAAGAATTACTATAATCTGTTGTACTGATGAAGTCATTAAATGAGAGTTCACCATATTCACCAGAACCGAAATGACACCTAGTCGGTTTTGTTGGTTATAAACAATTATTGGATGAGGTTTTTGTGATATCCGGAATAAACAAGGTCGAGGTAAGAGTTATCAGCCGAAGCCTTCGGCTTCGGCTGATAAAACTAACCGAGACCTTGATTATTTGCGATATCACAGAAACCGAATCTCATAATTGTTTTATTATACATTGTTTTAAAGAAAATTACGACAAACGCATTATCGTACCGAACACAGTTTATTTTCGACAAGCCACACACCTTATTCCAAAATGGCAGCCAGTTTATTATTCTTTTGTTTACATGGTATTTAGCCCTCTTTGCCTCGTCAACATGTACAAAATACAAAGGCATGCAGTTTTGAAGTGAAAATGAGGCAAAGAGGGCTAATAAACATGCAAACAAAAGAATAATAAATTGACCGCCATTTTGGAATAAGGTGTATGTTCTTACGTGAGCTTGACATTGGTCTTGGATATCATGCATTGCGCGCGCAACCCACGGATTATTCACTAATCTGCTAGCAGATTAGTGAATAATCTGTAGGTTGCGCTGTTTCCCAGAATTAGCTGTAGGCTTCTAGCCAAGGAGAAGACAGATGGTGACTACAGTGTGTAATAATAATTATTAGTATACGTAGCAATCATTTTCCAAACTTGAATGTTATAGAGGCACATACTT